TGTGATAACGTCCATAGAGTGATAGCCTGGCCATATCTCAGTGAGGATTCCTAAGGATTCCAAGGCAAACATATAGGGGATTCCCAGCAGATCAATCAACCTAGAAAGGTCTCCTCAACTTACAATGCCAAAAAGTCACTGATGTGAACAAAAACACACTTGTTATCCCTTTGGCTGAATACACCAATTAAAATTTATGTTTAATTCATTCTACTTTTAACACTCTCCCTTGAAGAATTCTCTGTGACCCAGAAGCTCAAAATCAGAATGGTCACTATTTAGCTGAATACTGCTTAGCAGCTACTATGTTACTAGATTTAACAACAGTATATTATTTATTTATTACACATATGCCACCTTTCTCCCAAAATAGGATCCAAGGTGGTTTACAATGCAGTAATCTTAAAAAGACCCAACTAAAACATTAATTTACAAAAAGTTGAAAAGGAATTAAACATCAACATTATTATAACAAGATTAAAAATGGCTAAAATACTAAAATATTTAAACATATTTTAAAACATACTTTTAACAAAAGATATATAGCTGTTTTGGTCTAATTGAGTCTTTGTATGTTCAGAATATGAGATTTTTAACTGTTGTAAACCGCCCAGATTGGTTCGCCATAGGGCAGTATAGAAATAAAAATATTATTATTATTATTATTATTATTATTATTATTATTATTATTATTCTCATGTCTTGCAATACAAGGGGCCTTTGGTATCCACAGGGGTTTGGTTCCAGGACTCCTGTGGATACCAAACTCTCAAGTCTTATTATATACAATGGTGTAGTAAAATGGTGTCCCTTACATAAAACAGCAAAATCAAAGATTGCTTTTTGGATTTTTTTTGGGGGGGGCAGATATTTTCAAACTGTGGATGGTTGAATCTGTGGATATGGACAGCCAACTGTATTCTGTTAAAAGCATGAAAATGTTGCTCTTATAGAAACATTTGAAGTGGAGTGGATGCTAGGTGGAGAGAGGACCACCACCCCACCCAGCTTTGTCTGAAATATTATGTGTCAGAATTAATCCACATAGAGATATATACAGTCATCCCTCCTGATTCATGGGGGATCCATTCCAGACCACCACCACCTGTGAATCCAGAAAAATGCAAATATTCGAGTCCCGATTGGTTACAATGGCGGCATGCTTCTCCACATACTGCGCGCGCCATTTTGTCCCTCCCTGCTTATCATCCATAAAGGAGAGAGACCATAGACTCCAAGCCTGCAAACAGGGAGGGACGAGTGTACTTGTTTTTATGGAGAATTCTCCCCCTTTAAAAAAACAAATGCACTATTTCATTTTAAGCCATTGCAGCAATTCACATTACTTTTGGGATATATTTTCTTTGGTCTTGCAACATCAATTTCATACCTCTTTAAATTTTCCTGGTTCTCTCAAAGTAGGTGTGATGATGGGTGTGAATAATCCTGTGCAATGATCCTGGGGATGTGCTACTCTTGACCTTGCCCACTCCTTCTACCCCAAATCCTCATGATGGTGAATCTCTATGATGCCTGACTAACCAAATACAATCTTTCTTTCAAACCTCATGCCTCAAAACAAGTAGTGGCAGTAGTGGCAGACAGTATAAATCAGTTGCCTTATAAAGGGATAAGAAAAAGATCCTGATGATGACTATAGGTCACTGAAATGATGACTGATAAATGTGGATCATTGCTTGGGTTGTGTGAATTGCAAATTTAAAAGCAGGGAAGATGAGGCACTATCAGACAGTGATATAATGAGTTAATCCTAGATGGAGAGTTCATTACTGCAAAACATGAATCTCTGGCCTTTTAATGCCAGTTTTACAGATGACACTAACAGGATGTGAAGATTTGTTTGCCAGCCTTTTCAAAACACACATATACAGGGTGGGGATTTTAGTCATA